ATTTTTGGCAGACACCTGTACAAAATACTTGGACTAAAGCCAGCTAAATTTTTCTGTTATCTTGCATGTTTTATAAATCTATTCACATCTAAATGCAGCACTTTTTTTTTGCAATGAGACATTTGTTTTTATTCTAAAATATCTGAATTACTTTGAATAAAGCTGGAAATTATGTTCCTTAAAATAATTAAACAAATAAGGCACCAATGTTTTTGTAAGATATTTACATCTTTTAAGGACATTCGGTAGACTGATTCCCCACTGTTGGTTCAACCCCAAAACTTGTTTGTATTCAAAATTAATTATGACAATGCATATTTATATTGAAACAAACTATGATAAAGGGAATTATATTATATAACAAAGGGCAAGGTCACCAGAGTTCAACTATGTTTATTGTTCAGTGTTGAAGTGTCAAGCTTTCAGATTGGACTACTGTAAAATACTTTATTTTTGCTAGGAATTATTTTTACTATTTTATTTTTGCCAAAGAAATGATTCAGTGAAAATAAAATCCAGCGAATATATCTTTTTTCCTATATTTTACATTCAACTCATCAAAAATAAATAAATAAGTAAAATTAAATTCCATACAAAACACTGAAAAGTCATTTCAGCGAACATTAATTCCAGCTAAAATAAAGTATTTTACAGTATAATGTTGTGATATCCTCACTTCATCAAAATTGACCACCATCAAATGAGTATAGCGTGCAAATACCAATAAAATACTTTCGTGTTTATCGAATTGCAAGTGATGTTTTAATGCCACTACAAGGCTATGACCTCTGTTTGTCTCATTTTTCACGATCAATTCCATGCATAACATCGAATCTTGAAGAAAAAAAATGGTCTATTTAAGTTACTTCATGGCTACAGTTGTGTAGCTATCAAGAAAAGCTATGTGTGTGTAGCATTGTCACCCCATGAATCAAATGGTATTGGATCGAATGGTCTTATTGTTAAACGCTAACCAACATTAGTAAACAACATGGCGGACTTGACTCGCCCGAATGCCTGGGCGTTGATCATAAAAAGTGTGGATAGCTGCTCGAATTCGCCACTCTGTTTCAAATTTTGAGCATAAATAAATATTATACAGTACAAGGATTGCTGCCGCTGCCCCGCGCGTTAGGTATTTTTACCCGTTCGCCCCCACGCATGCCGGGACAGTCCCATGCGGTTTTTATGACACCAAGGTACAACATACATTCATATCAATCTTTTCTTATTTTTTATGTTATCATGATTGAAATTTCCATATTAATTTTATCATGTAGGGAATTTACCATGGTATTGAGAACTTTGTACATGAAGCATCATATATGAGTGCAATTGGTACAACTCCTGGATTTGGTGACAAGACATTTATTGTCCAGGTAAGTTGTATCAATGTAATACCATTAATACGAATATTACAAACATTTCATTTCTTTTGTGTACTTTGTCAAAACTTTAAATTAGTCTAGCAATAAATAAAATGTTGCTACTGTGTATTTCAAATTATCTAGGGTTTTGGTAATGTAGGTCTTCACAGTATGCGTTATCTACATCGTCACGGTGCTAAATGTATAGGAATTGCAGAAATAGATGGTAGTATCTTCAATCCAGCTGGTATTGACCCTAAAGAATTGGAAAACTATAAAATTGTAAGTATTTTGATGTGCTCAAATATGTCAATATTATAGTTGTTAGTGACCCCTACTGCTCTACCTTACAAAGTTGGTGTTTTGTCATTAAATAAATAAAAATAAATAAACTAATATTAGATTAATTTTTGTTAAGTTGTCTTTTTGCTTCACCATTATTCACCAATATTATATTTACCGGTAGTCCCCATTTCAGATGCAGCCTGAAAAGGGAAGCATAGTTTCTTATTTCCGGTTTCTGTCTGTGATGTTTCCTTCACATCTTCAACATTTTCTCAGAAATTCTGCAGCAGATATTGTAAAACTTGGCAGGTTAATGAACAAGTCTCTGTTGAATATGCACATGATTTGTTTTTCCCAGATCTGAAATCCTAAGTGGGTTATTTTCATGATTTTCATCCAAAATTACCTCTCCCAACAACACTGAGAGAACAACTGAGCATGCAAAGAATAAATAATTAGGTTAGATGTAATGCTAGGGTTTTCAGTGACGTCATTACCTTTATCTGAATCAGTGACAGAAATGGACCACAGTCTGGTTTTTGTTTGGTTTTTATAAGAAATTAATGTTGAAATCATGAAGAAAGTGGTCAGAAATGTTGTTGTATACTATCTTCAAACTGTAAAAATTGCATTCCATTATAAACAGCAATCACTGAAATACCGGGTCACAAAGTTGAAGATCTGTGAAAACACTTTGCAGTTACTGTTTATAAATCTTGGCCAGGCTTATTGACACATGTGGTCTAAATGTAAGTGGCGTTCACGTTAGAGATCTCGGCGCGTGCTGAGACTCGGGACCGAGTCGGCACGTGCCGAAAATTGTGTGTGAACGGTCAGGACCGAGTCGGCACGTGCCGAAAAGAACTCGATCTCGGTCCCGATGGATGCTTGGGACCGAAACTCGGCACGTGCCGAGATTTGCTGTCTGAACGCTCGGCACGAGCCGAAATCACGCCCTCGGTGGTAAATTTAAGAAAAACATAAGTTGATTGATACTAGCATGAAATGACGATGACAGGAAATTCGGATATATAGTAGATGGTCGGATGCTGTAGTAATGAATGCAAACCGTCATCAGCGATGCATATTTATGTGCTGCTACAACCTCTATTTTCTTGCACATTTTACATTGATGTGAAAAAAATAATTGTGTTTTGAATCTTCTTTGCCGTTCATGTGTACGAGGAATCGTAATAAACACCATTGCAACAAATGGATATAATTTCACTATAACAATTATTATTATCATCATATGCGTATCGTTTGGGCCAACAGATCGACGAATGAGAGCGTGATTTCGGCACGAGCCCAATAACATGAACACAACTGCTGTAATCCCTCTGCAAACACAACTGCTTAAAAATTTCGACACGTGCCGAGATCCCGTAACGTGAACGTAGTAATAGTTTCAGTAGTCTAGTGGATAAATGGGTTGTACCATTATGAATCTCTGGAAACTGTAGAGGGGGGGGGGGGGTCAGGGCTACATTTTGAATGGAATTATAGTGGTTATACTTAAACAAACCCAGGTCCTGGTAATGTACAAAGACCTGAATTAAGGTAGCGGGACTATTATTTGCATACTTGTTTTCATTTTCCAGTTGTGACTAAATGACTACAAATAGACCCAGGAAAGTATATATTTTTAGAATCGCCAGACTTCAAGCTTTTCACAAGTGTATTTTGCATGCCCGTATCTGCATTCTACAACACGTTACTCAATCAAAGGTGAAAAATTACTTTTTCTGTAAAAAAATAATTACGCATTTATGCTGGCGATAAGAAGTATTTTTTTCACTTTTCCTAGTTGTTCAATAGTCAGGTAATGTGAATGTGTCTGGTCAGTTTTATTCAAGCAATGCGTTTTAAAAAATGGTGTGCTGAATTTCAATTACTGTTTTAGTCGCATTGCCCCCAACTCAAACCACAACTCGTTGGTAAATAATCGATGAAATAGCTTGTTTATTGGCACAATCAATTTGTTTTCACATCAAGGTCTGTTTTAACATGTGTAGGGACATCCAAATGTGTAAGGCTATTGGAAACCAAAAAAATAAAGGAATGGGATAGCTATAATTGGATAAATTCGGCATATGAAAACACCAAAATCAATGATTTTTTTTCAGTGGCTGTGTGACCTTGTGTCTAATGCATTCATATGCAAATGACTAATCTGTGAAATAAACAGGGGCGGAGACAAACCACTCAAATGTTTGGAAACACTCATTGTGTGTCAGAAAGCTACTGATAACACATCCTAACATTGCTTTGTCTTGAGTTTATCTTTGAAACTTATGGGCACACAGATTAAACCTGTGTTGTTGATTTTGGAAAACACTACTGAAGCTGCCTTGCTTCCCTTCAGAAAATCTACATTTTAACCAACTTACATGACATTCTATATAATGTTGACTTTATCACATGAAAGTTTATAGTGCATTTCATCAATTAATAAATAAATGTGAAAATCGTAATTTTCAACACAAATAATAGTCTCGCTACCTTAACAAAGAAGTCAAGTTGTTATTAAAGGTACATCAAGGTTTACTCAGATCACGGTTACTAAAAAAGATGGTTAGGAAACGAATCATGTTCTTTTCATTAGATGCGTGTTGCGGGTAAACATTTGAAACAAAAGACGTACTAATCTGTGATAAATCATTAACATAAAATGTAGACAGGAAATCACGCAAATATGACGTCATTTTCCCCCGAGTTCATTGCAATCAACAACTGCACGCCATTTTATTGTGTCTCTGTCGATACTTTCAGTAATACTAAAGTGTAAGTTGTTACAGTGAATCCTGACAAAACCTGTTGCTCAGTTTAAACTCAATACAAATTTGCCTGTCGTGTATGGCATTTTCGTTTCTAAATAACAAGATTGGCAGAAAACTGAAATAAAAAAACCAACAAAACATGATCAGAAAAAAGACGTCAAAGAAACCATACAAGTGTTTATATTTCAGCCATGCGAAAGTTTTAATGAGGAGCCATGATACCACGTACATTTTGTTGGAAATAAACAAAATATGCGATAAGATAACTGAAATAACCCACCCATGCTCTACAAAATGCATGTAAGCAGACCAAATATGCAACAACAGGCAGTTCCAATGAAATTAAAGCGAACCTAAATGCGGCCTTAATTTATAGTTGTGTATATTCTAAACTGTATTCGAAATAATATTGCAGTGGTTTAATTTTGTTTTAATTATAACTGTTGCTTGGATAAGCATTTGAAGTGCTTGCCATGGAGGCCATTCATGGAGGGGAATAATTAACGAACGAACATATTTAACATCCGGGTACTTTTCAAAGCTATGACGTTTTAGTATTTGATCGCATTCGTATACGCCATTGTACATAGCCGTTCATGCTGCCAAGCATTGTGTACTATTAGTATAAACTCAACTTTTATATGCACAATGTGCTTTTTAAAACTTGGGTTAGAGCCTTATGCGTTTGAACCACGGTATTCTGAGAGTGAAAGCCCGATTGCATTAAAGTACCGTACTTCCCCGATCGTAAGCCCCTCCCGAGTATGAAGCCCATCCCTATGTTTTTACTTGGTATTTATCGAGTTGAGGGCATTCACGATTATAAGCCCAGAGTGTTTTTACTGGGCGTCGACGATATTCTTTTAAATATGCGTGTAAAAGGTGTGTTTCATTTCATAATCGTGATTGGCATGTTAGTTTGGTTCATGCTTTTAGTTTTTAGTGCATGGCAAACATACACACCGTGATTCGCATCGTTTCTATTCTGTCATTTACTCAGAATGAACATCGATGTTGCAATTCTGGAGTAAACCATATTTCTTTGAGTAGTAGCCTTCGAAAAGCCAAAAATGTGATCGTCAAGGCGTGTACCTGGTTATTGGGCATGGTTTACTTTGAGACTATCATGAAAGGCCTAGGGTTTGAACGATGAGACATGTTGGCGACCGAGAAAGGTGTTTAAATTCTTCCTCCACACTCAGTTTACCCACGGTTACTATTAACCGTCGTTTATATTTCGAAAATTGCAAATCGCCAGTTTTTAGGGAAAAAAATCATCGTTTTTTCGTTGCAATCAGTGCTACAGATCGCATTTTAACATTGCGGTAATTCACTTCCGCATTGCGCTAAAAAATCATCGTTAATAATCGGAAAATTTCATCATTACATTTATTACATCATTACATTTATTAGACAGTTAGACAAAAAACAAAACAAAATGCCTGTCTCGATCAATCGCACATCCATAATGTTTGTATGTTGATGTGCTTGTAAATAACATTAACGTAAAAGTCGAAACAACCTAGACTAGAAGTCAATTCACCAGTCCAGCCAGCTATGGCTCCCTAAGTTGCTTATATTTAATCAGATACTATTTCGTCATCATGCTTTGTTACCTTACCTGTTTATACCTCACGAGGGCGTTTTTTATGGCAAGATGGCGCAAACGGAAGTCCTTCGCAGGTTTATGGTTTCTCATATTTAAATCATCATAACTCTGAAGATAATCATTTTTTTTAATTTTTTTTTTCAAATTTATAATCAATATAACTTGATAAATACAAACACCAAAATAGGCTCTATTTAGTTCCCCTTTAAGAACGGTTAAAAAGGGTTCGAAAAATTGATTTGGCGAAGAGACTGCTAGAAAGTTGTACCGACAGTTCAATGTGTCAAAAATTGTAGCGTTGACTAAAACCACATTTAATGGCACGCTGAATATTGCAACATGAAAAATTTTCCAAAAAACTGAAACAAGGACAGACAAGAACAATTAAACAGGCATTTTATGAAACTGGCGAAAAATGTTGAATACATTTTGAACAATTTCTACGGCGTCCACAAAAAAAGTGTTACGACTTTGAACAAAATGGCTGATACAGTGACGTGAAAGCAAAACGATAAAATTTACTCTAATAAGCCCCCAAATCGCACACAACCTTCATAAGTACGCACAGTAGTATACTAAAAATTCATTTGGTAGTATTTTTTATAATATAATGTATATTTAGTCCCCGTTCGGACGTAGTCCGAAAACGGGGACTTGTGTTTTGCCCTGTGTGCGTCCGTGCATCCGTGCGTCCGTGATCACCTGTATCTCAAACATGCATGGACCGATTAAGTTCAAACTTCACTCATACATCACACATTATATGGGACATATGCACATGCATTTTTTTCATGATCCGATTAATTTTTTCACCATTCCGGACCCGGATCTCAGTTATGCATGGACGGATTTTGTTCAAATTTGGTACATACATTAAACATAATAGGACTTTGATGCACGTCTTTTTTTTTTTGGATCGGGTTTGAAATGGCCGACTGGCGGCCATTTTGTTTTAAAGAATTCAGTTCTGGATTCGTATCCGAGACATGTCTGGATTGATCAAGTTCAAACTTCACACACACATGGTACATCATGTCACAAATAGATATGTGCATTTGTTTCATGATCCACTTAACAATAGCTGAATGATGGCCATTTTAAGGCCGAAAATGCATCAAAATCACGTATTTTCACAATTCCGGAACCGGATCTCAGTCATGCATGGATGGATTTTGTTCAGATTTAGTACAATGTGTTGTACATATACAGGTGCATTTCGGTCATGATCTGCTTTGAATGTATATGTCACTCAAATATGAACGGAACGGGGACGTGTCATTGACAATGACTTGTAAAATAGTGACTTAGGGGTTAGAATTTTTGTCACTTTTCTACCGGGACCCAAGCTTACTCTCATGACAACAGTAAAAACGATAAATGACGATTCTCGATTCTGAATGTTTTCACAGTCACAAAGAGTACTCATCCGAAATGTACGTGTGGTTCTTCGTAGAGCTTGTTCACTAAACGTGGATATTCTATCGAAAACGAGCTTAAAATTTCAAATTCGCGGAACATCAAGTGATCGACACAAAAATGAAACAAAATGGTGGACCTTGAAATCTCAAGCGCGACACGCATCCTAGAGGGATTAGGCAGATTCACACCTTTTAACAATGGCGTTTCCTAACCGTCTTTTTTAGTAACCGTGCTCAGATTTATGAATGCAGTTTCTTGAGCATGTATGAGACATAGTTTGGTTGCACTTGTGTACTCTGAGATTTTGGACATGGGTCAATGGAAGTTTTCAGTTATCAGTACAATACTAGATTAAGGGAAACCACTCTGACGAGTTGAAATAAATCACATAGAGTACATATTAATTTACCTTTTTGCAGATGTTCCATGTATTATTTTAACATGAGTATTTTATAATTAAATGATGGGGACTGTGACATTCATGTCTTGTTTTTCACTAATTTTCAGCATTAGTTGTAATCGAAAAGGTGGAATTTGATGTTTTGTATATATTTGGTTTAGATTAACTTTCGTCAAGGAAATGTAGTGGTGGAAGGTGACAAAAGTTGATAGGAGTGTAAAAATTCAATTAACACTTGCCCACATCATGGCATTATTATTAGGCAATTTATGTCATTTACACAAAACTTTAGTTATAATATAACTATGTAAATTTCAATAGAATAAACACAAATTAAATAAATTATCTGTGTCGATCTTGAATAGCAATGTGTAAAAATTAATACTATAATTGTTATCTATAAAACAGGATAATGGTACAATAGTCGGCTTTCCTGGTGCAACAGCCTATGAAAAGAACTTGTTAACAGAGAAGTGTGACATATTACTGCCATGTGCTGCTGAAAAAGCAATTACTGCTGAAATTGCTAAAAATATTCAATGTCGGATTGTTGCGGAAGGTGCCAACGGTCCAACAACTCCAGCAGCTGAACAAATTCTTCTTGATAGAAATATTCTAGTCATTCCGGTGAGTGCATCCAAGTTGTACAGTACCTCACATGCACAAACATTATTTTTTATTTATTTTTTATTCTTCTGTTCATTGATTTATTCATTCAATCACAGAACCAAAGCTTACAACTGTATTGTGCCTTACAAAAGCAAAAGAAAATCTGACACCTGCACTGTTGCCTGTCGCACTCACCTGACACCTGCACTGTTGCCTGTCGCACTCGCCTGACACCTGCACTGTTGCCTGTGACACTCACCTGACACCTGCACTGTTGCCTGTCGCACTCGCCTGACACCTGCACTGTTGCCTGTCGCACTCACCTGACACCTGCACTGTTGCCTGTCGCACTCACCTGACACCTGCACTGTTGCCTGTCGCACTCGCCTGACACCCGCACTGTTGCCTGTTGCACTCACCTGACACCTGCACTGTTGCCTGTCGCACTCGCCTGACACCTGCACTGTTGCCTGTCGCACTCACCTGACACCTGCACTGTTGCCTGTCGCACTCGCCTGACACCTGCACTGTTGCCTGTCACACTCACCTGACACCTGCACTGTTGCCTGTCGCACTCGCCTGACACCTGCACTGTTGCCTGTCGCACTCACCTGACACTTGCACTGTTGCCTGTTGCACCCACCTGACACCCGCACTGTTGCCTGTCGCACCCACCTGACACCTGCACTGTTGCCTGTCGCACTCACCTGACACCTGCACTGTTGCCTGTGACACTCAACTGACACCTGCACTGTTGCCTGTCGCACTCACCTGACACCTGCACTGTTGCCTGTCGCACTCACCTGACACCTGCACTGTTGCCTGTGACACTCACCTGACACCTGCACTGTTGCCTGTCGCACTCGCCTGACACCCGCACTGTTGCCTGTTGCACTCACCTGACACCTGCACTGTTGCCTGTCGCACTCGCCTGACACCTGCACTGTTGCCTGTCGCACTCACCTGACACCTGCACTGTTGCCTGTCGCACTCGCCTGACACCTGCACTGTTGCCTGTCGCACTCACCTGACACCTGCACTGTTGCCTTTCGCACTCGCCTGACACCTGCACTGTTGCCTGTCGCACTCACCTGACACTTGCACTGTTGCCTGTTGCACCCACCTGACACCCGCACTGTTGCCTGTCGCACTCACCTGACACCTGCACTGTTGCCTGTCGCACTCACCTGACACCTGCACTGTTGCCTGTGACACTCAACTGACACCTGCACTGTTGCCTGTCGCACTCACCTGACACCTGCACTGTTGCCTGTGACACTCACCTGACACCTGCACTGTTGCCTGTGACACTCACCTGACACCTGCACTGTTGCCTGTGACACTCACCTGACACCTGCACTGTTGCCTGTCGCACTCATCTGACACCTGCACTGTTGCCTGTCACACTCACCTGACACCTGCACTGTTGCCTGTCGCACGTACGTACCTGTCTGACACCTGCACTGTTGCCTGTCACTCGCCTGACACCTGCACTGTTGCCTGTCACACCTGCCTGACACCTGCACTGTTGCCTGTTGCACTCACCTGACACCTGCACTTTTGCCTGTTGCACTCACCTGACACCTGCACTTTTGCCTGTCACACTCACCTGACACCTGCACTGTTGCCTGTCACACTCACCTGACACCTGCACTGTTGCCTGTTGCACTCACTTGAAACCTGCACTGTTGCACTCACTTGAAACCTGCACTGTTGCCTGTCGCACTCACCTGACACCTGCACTGTTGCCTGTTGCACTCACTTGAAACCTGCACTGTTGCACTCACTTGAAACCTGCACTGTTGCCTGTCGCACTCACCTGACACCTGCACTGTTGCCTGTCACACCTGCCTAACACCTGCACTGTTGCCTGTCACACCTGCCTAACACCTGCACTGTTGCCTGTCGCACTCGCCTGACACCTCCACTGTTGCCTGTCGCCCTCACCTGACACCTGCACTGTTGCCTGTCACACTCACCTGACACCTGCACTGTTGCCTGTCGCACCTGCCTGACACCTGTACTGTTGCCTGTGACACCCACCTGACACGTGCACTGTTGCCTGTGACACCCACCTGACACGTGCACTGTTGCCTGTCGCACTCGCCTGACACCTGCACTGTTGCCTGTCGCACTCGCCTGACACCTGCACTGTTGCCTGTCGCACTCGCCTGACACCTGCACTGTTGCCTGTCGCACTCGCCTGACACCTGCACTGTTGCCTGTCGCACTCACCTGACACCTGCACTATTGCCTGTCGCACTCACCTGACACTTGCACTGTTATCTGCACTGTTGCCTGTTGCACCCGCCTGACACCTGCACTGATGCCTGTCGCACTCACCTGACACCTGCGCTGTTACCTGTCGCACTCACCTGACACCTGCACTGTTGCCTGTCGCACTCACCTGACACCTGCACTGTTGCCTGTCGCACTCACCTGACACCTGCACTGTTGCCTGTCGCACTCACCTGACACCTGCACTGTTGCCTGTCGCACTCATCTGACACCTGCACTGTTGCCTGTCACACTCACCTGACACCTGCACTGTTGCCTGTCGCACGTACATACCTGTCTGACACCTGCACTGTTGCCTGTCGCACTCACCTGACACCTGCACTGTTGCCTGTTGCACTCACCTGACACTGTTGCCTGTCACACCTGCACTGTTGCCTGTCACACCTGCCT